CTTTCCTCAGTTGCGGGAGAGGCATCCTCCAGAGTGATACCAGCCGCGCCGGCTTGACCATCATACCTAGCATTCTCGGTCAGTATCTGATCATAGTATGATTTTTCGGGCATTATGGGGTTCTCGGTATCATACCCGTTTAGCTTCACGCCATAAACAACCGCATCATGAACAGACGGTATCCGACAGATGTGATCCCTAATCTCTCCAGCGCTGACATTCTCTCCCTTCCAACGGAAAGTATCACCCACACGGTCCTGGAACCGGACCCAACCATCGTGATCCCTCACAACCAAGTCACCAGTGCGTTGGAAGAGGTCACCCTTCTTGAATACATCCCGCAGAAGCTTCTTCTCAGTCGCATCCTCATTGTGCAGGTACTCAGTCAGCAAGCCACGGCTCTTGACTCGGCCAATCGCCTCTCCCTCTTCACCAAGCTTGGCTGGTACACAGAATCCCGTCTTGGGATCGCGGTAGGGCATTTCCGTCTCGGTATCGTACTTGACGATGAACGTATCGTCCTCGAACCGTCGCTTAATGGGACCAGAAAATCCCACCTTCCCAGCACCCCATGCTCCTTCACCCCAGTTATCAAACTTGGCCACGCCTTCCGTTGACCGATAGAACTCGCGAATCTCCGGGACTCCAAAACGTTGGCGGAAGCGCTCCCAAATTTCTCCGCGCAAACCGTTGCCACTCGCAACAATACAGTTATGATCACGATCATAAGGGGAAGGGGGTGTTGACAGCAAATATCTGCAGAGCTCGCCGATGTATAGGATACGTGTGGCTTTCGAATCATGGACGTCCTTCCAGAATTGAGAAGCGGAGAACTTGCGCCGAAGGCAAAGAGTGCTTGCGTTTCCAACTGAATAGCAGAGACCAGTGAAGAACGCCGTACCATGGAAAAGTGGGAGAGGGGAGTATGTGCGCAGGGGGTAATACTTGGAGCGGTCATCGAGGTCGGTCGTGTTAGGGTTAGATGTAACAAGAGCCATCATGTTGCGGATGGCACAGGCCTTGGGCTTGCCTGTCGTTCCCGAGGTGTAAATCAGTGCACTCAAATCGCTGATAGATCTTTTAGCGGCGCTTGTCGCTGAAGGGGAGTATTGTTGTAAATCGGACGGTGTGATCACTTGGATTTCTCCCGCAGAGCTGCTGTCAAAGGAACCTAGGTTTAAGGCCAAATGAGGCAGCTCGGAACACACGAATTGCGACAGGTCGGGTGTGGACACAATAAATTTGCTTCCAGAGACATTCAGGCAATGGGTAAATGTATCATCTATCCAGAGCATTGTCAGTAAGTAATTGCCCCAATACATGTACAAGAAATGTCAAATCTTCATACCACGCAGATTGGTGTTAATGAGAGCAGCAACAGCACCCAACTTAGAGAGTGCATAGATCGTCACCACCATCTCCGGGGCATTCGTGGTGAAGACGCCCACGAAATCCCCGGAATGGATTTCCTTGGTGTGAAGCAAGGACGCAAATCTATCAACAACTATAAACACGAGTCAGTCAAAAGAGCACACAAGCCAGTAGTATACGGATCTCACATACGATCTTTCAGCTGGCTATAAGTCCACGTCTTGTGTTCAAACCACAAGGCCTCGGCAGCACCCTGTCCGTCAACTTCCACCACCCGTTCCAGCATCTTATATAGCGTGGCGGTATCGCCCAGCTGGGCAATCCGCTGACCCAGGCGATTTGCCCATGATCGTTCTTGGTATAGCAATGAGAGATCAGTCGAGATAGAGAATTTGGCGTTGATGTATGCCCCTGCAGCGGCTGAAAGAGCCGATGCAATTGCTATGGAGGGGCCACCCAATTCGGAGAAGTACTCCATGTGGAAGATGATGCTGTGGTGATAAGATCTGTATGATGGGGAAGAATACTTGTTACAGAAAACAAGCAATGAATAACTTCTTCCGGTGTCTCACACTCAAATGTTGAGATGAACTTGAGTCAATTGCGGGACAAATAGTTAGCGAATTTGGACATTCAACCCCGCAACAGGAAGAGTTTCGATTATCAAAATAGAGACATAGCTCCGCTCTGATATGGGGAAGTGGGCAAATATAGGAACAGAATTGTGTCATGAAAATCCAAGCGCTCGGAATCTGGGGTCGGGACGTGAGCCACCGAAAGCTGCCGTCCAGTGGTGGGGGTTACTAGTGTTGGCTACATACACTTAGTCTAGTTATTGGTATGTACTTTGTAAGCATGCCTGGAGAAAAGCAAGCAGCGGCAAAAGAATGTTGAACTGGCTTCCGAGATAACGCGCGGGCGCAGGTCCGAGCCAGATTCCCTTGCGTTCTGCAATGCAGTTTTAGATCCATAGTTCGTGTACATATACCTCCAAATCTTCTGTCGAGATATTAAAGCCGCCGGCATGAAGTGAACTCCAATGTCCATCTCATACTAGAAATTTGATTGTGAACATCGCCTGGCAATGTCTTCTGATCTTGATAACCAACCCTGGACATAGATTAGGTCTCTCATCACTGCGACTCTTCAGCAGATCCGGGGAGGCAATTCTGGACGCTAAACCGGCCCGTCATTGACCCACACAAATAACCGACGGTAATGGCGCTGTATTGGTGACCATCTTACCGGAGGCAGAGAGTGGCCAACTTCCCGCAATACGTGCACTTTCTAGGAAATGGACCGACAACCGAGGCGATTGGAGTGACGGTATCATACCGCCGTGTAACCAAAAGGCGGCATTTCTCTCGGCTGCCATTCACTCGGTCTGGCCTTTGAAACCCGCTGGGCCTGCAGGCGTTTGATACCGAGACGAGTTTCGGCTCGGTGGCTTTTGCCCAGTAATTTACTGTATTGTCCAACTTTGGGTTTCTGGGAGCCGCGGTTGTTCTTTTGATCCCCGTGTTTGCCCCCAGGTTCATAATAATTAAAGATTGTCTCCAAGATAAGAAAATATAGCTAGTCTCTCTTCTTTTCTCATTCCCTATATTCTTCTCTGTCTGTCAAATCTCGAAAGAGCTGCTCCGTTTCCAGAAGCAGATTCGTATCGGTAGTCATACGAGGAAAGAGAAAAGAAGCAGCTTAAATCATGTCTTCTGCACAGCAACGATTGACCTCGATCGCAAACCAGCTTTCGGGCCCCGGTGCGGCGTCTGGAAAGCAGAGAATCTTATCCAAGAACCCCGACGATATTGTATGGATTTTCACACTTTTGTCATCCGTCTCTGGTAACAGAATCTAACAAGTGGCAGGTGATTACACTGGCCGTTCGGACCCCGCTCACAAAGGCCAGAAAGGGCGGCTTGAAAGACACGAAACTCGATGATCTTCTCATCTCATTGCTGACGGTATTGTCTTCCCACCCTCTTCAGCGCCGACATGTTCTCCGTCTCATAATTTCTAGTCCGTCCGCGAAAAATCGAATCTTGACCCCAACCTTGTCGAAGATGTTTGCGTTGGAAATGTGCTGTGCCCCGGCGCAGCTTACGTCGCCCGTTCAGCTGTGCTAGCCGCAGGATTTCCGGTCACAGCTGCTGCTTCGGTCGCCAATCGATTCTGTTCCTCCGGATTGCTCGCCGTCCAGAACATTGCCAACCAGATCATGGCTGGCTCTATTGACGTTGGTATAGCTGTGGGGGCTGAGAGTATGAGCACCAACGCCGACGGTGGCTCTCCCGAAATGTCCTCCAAGATCATGAACCACCCGATCGCCTCGCAGAATATCCAACCCATGGGACAGACATCCGAGAATGTTGCCTCACAGTTCAACATTACCCGTGAACAGCATGACAGGTTTGCCGCCAACAGCTACCAGAAAGCCGAGCATGCCCAGAAGGCTGGATGGTTCAAGGACGAGATTGTCCCGGTGAAGACGGTGATTAAAGACCCCAAGACGGGCGAGACCAAGGAAGTTGTCGTCGACCGGGATGATGGTATCCGTTACGGTACCACGGCTGAGTCTCTAGGCAAGATCCGCTCTGCGTTCCCTCAATGGACGCCTAGCGCTACTACAGGCGGTAATGCCAGTCAGATTACCGATGGTGCTGCCGGTCTCATTCTCATGAAGCGATCTCGCGCCCAAGAGCTCGGTCAACCCATCGTAGCCAAGTTCTGCGGTGCTACAGTTGCAGGCCTGGAACCTAGAATCATGGGCATTGGTCCATCGATCGCCATTCCCAAGATTCTTTCCAAGTTCGGTCTGAGCAAGGACGATATCGACATCTTTGAAATTAACGAGGCATTCGCCTCAATGGTAAGTGGTCATCTCTCGTCGGGCTATAACAACTTGCTGATATTGGTATAGGGAACGTATTGCGTTCAGAAGCTCGGCCTGGACGAGGCCAAAGTTAACCCCCGTGGCGGTGCCATGTAAGTCTTGATTCGTCGAATCCAAGCCTCATGATGCTGACGATTAGCAGTGCTTTTGGCCACCCTCTAGGCTGCACAGGAGCGCGCCAGGTGGTGACCGCCCTTTCGGAGTTGCGCCGACAAAACAAGAGGATTGCAGTTACCTCGATGTGTGTTGGAACGGTAAGATATCCTATAAATTTGTGCACCCTGCAGATGTCGGACTTCGGGCTAATAACGTTTTTATAGGGTATGGGCATGGCTGGTATCTTCGTATCTGAGCATTGAGCGTGATATGATATTAATATTGATATTATACCTTGTAAATAGTAGCCTTCACAATGACGATTCTACTTTCAAGTTGACTTGGAAAATCATCTGGAGTTCACTTTGACCCGCTTCAGGCCTAAAAGAAACATGGGCGATTGCGGTGCAGTAGTAGTTGTGTGGATTGAAAGAAACGTACCATATAATTATCTAGATGTATGGACGTTGTAAATCAATAACGGCTGCGCTTCATCCGGGGCGGTGGGTCATCCCCATGCCATGAGGGCTTCGGACTCCATAACTTTAGTGAGACGGGTAAGACATCCGTAGGGCCCATCGAATGACAGTTTTGTCTTTCTTTTCGTGACCTCGCTATGATACAGTCCTTCGGCATGCATTTCCTTCTGTTCACTCCACGGTATGTTTGAGAAAGGGATCCATGGGATTCGATGATCTAGGACAAATGGTTCCTAGTGCCAAAAGTAAGGTCAGGCGCTAGTCCATCACGTGCATTCCCAATGCGTTCGTCGTCATCGGCGGCTGCCAAGACAGGAACCGCCGTCCCATGACACCGCTCTTCATCCTCTCTTGCCTCGTCTTGTCTCTCTTATCTGTACCTCTGGTGATTTCCCTTCCGTCAATACTCTCGCAAATTTACTTCATTTCAGCTTAGCTAGTCCTTCGCTATTACTTGATTTTTATACGGAACGAAAACTGCTGCTTTGTGCCCCTTTGCGACCATGAAGCTCTTATCAACCGCCGCTACATTCCTCCTCTGCGTCGCCCCCTTCTCTACCGCCCGGTCTTTGGACTTTTTCAAATCTCAAACTCCCATCCAAGCAGAGAATGAGGCTGTGAAAGGCGATAACCCCCTCGAGTACTGCAATGATCCTTCAAGCTATCTTTTGCAAATAGATCATGTCGACTTAACGCCTAATCCTCCTTTGCCGTACGCTTCAATAAGCCTGCCTTGCCTGAACTGGATCGCATACTGATCGCTCTATAGTGGAAAGACTCTCACCATCCAAGCTACGGGTACCCTGAATGAGAAGATTGAAGAGGGAGCTTATGTGAACCTGGAGGTCAAATATGGCTTGATTACTCTGGTCAGGCAGACGGCCGACCTGTGCGAGCAGATTGTCAATGTTGACCTCGAATGTCCTCTGGAGAAGGGCGAGATGACCTTGACTAAACAAGTTGAGCTGCCCAGACAGATTCCTCCGGTACGTGATTTCCTATGGTACACCGCTCTCGATGTCGAGATTAACAAGGTCATGATCAATCAACAGGGCAAGTACACTGTGCATGCCGACGTTTACACCAAAGACGATAAGCATGTTACCTGCCTCCAGGCCCGTAACATCGAGTTCAAGGCTGGCTTTATGTGAAAGCTGACTCGGTGCTTCTGAGTACATGGCCGCGATGCATATTTTGCGCTGTTGACGCTGGATGTCCTTGCGTTTTATCGCCCATAACGAGCTGACGTTACTACTTGCATATGTTGTCGTTTTGTTTCTCCGCTTGCCTCTACCTAAGCCCGCCTTCATCCTTGAGCCTCACAGTGACATGCCAATGTTTACGAAAGCCATGCCACGCTCTACGATTGTGCTAACCTTTCGTTGCGCTACGTCTTCAACGGTGTTTTGGGTCTTGGTTTAGTGCCACATATTGTAGTCCATCCTTATCATTGTTATTATAATTCGTGACCTTCTTTCACTGGCATTACCTAGCATCTCTGTACTAAAATGCATATGAAACATTGATCCTATTGACAGCATAGCCTATGAAGCGTGCTAGTAAGTAGCCAGGCTTAGTGACCAGCGCAGCGAAAAACTGGTAAAGGTGGGCTCTGTGAACTTGGTGTTGTCATGCAAAACGATGTAATTGGGTATCTTCCCCTCCGCCTTTGAGCTAACTCTCATTCCATCTGTATACTTCGCGAAACGGCAAACAAGAGATAGGGCAATGAGATAACACCACCAGATGGTAATACATATGAAACCTCAAGTCAAAATTGAAAGCGCGTGATATTCACTCTCCAAACAGTCGTCGCACCCGCTTGAGTACACTGTCCTTTTCAGGGTCATACGGGTGGTCCTTGCTCGGAATCTCGAGAACGGCAGGGAAAGCCTCGGCGTAGGAATCGACGCTGTGTCGGATACGCTCTGCGATCTGTATGGAATCGTCAGCGGCGAGCTATAAGCATTCAAAAGATGGTATAATTCGCAGGCGTTGCAGGTTAAGGACACTGCGAAGTGTAACAAGGCACATACATGTTGGTTGATAAGGACAATGGCGATATCTTTCCTCTCCTGAGTAAAGTTCTGGAATGCTTTCTCGATCGCGGCGGTCTCAGTCTTCGAGTCTACCACAAGAAAGTTTCGCTGGGCATCCGCGCCATCGGTAACATGCTGCAATGTATCAGGTTAGTTGTGGTCGCATGTTTGCCGTTATCTGGCTGCCGTGGTTTGAGGATACGTACACCGACACCGGCAAGGAGGAGACCTGTTACGGAGCTGGAAATAAACAGTTAGCGGAAGTGTTTCTCTCATAAGGTCGTGATGGTGTGGCTTACTCTTCATCTCCGATGACCGCAAGGAACTGCCGGTCCTAGATAAGGTGTATATGGTGAGTGACTATTGGCAATGAGGAGGAGGGTAAACCTCGGGATATCACCTTGTATGATACGGCCGGAGCCGCCATGGTTGTGAGAATAGGGAAGAAGCGGGCGTAAAGACTGTGATCTGCTTATATATCGGCGAGTTTCTGCGGCTACAGTTAGCTCGCGTCGCCCTGAGTCGATAAAGAAGGTAAATCTGGCCCTGCCGAGTCTGGCAATCCCAACTCTCTTGCGGGAGACGTCGTCATAACGGCGCCGGGGTCGCTTATCTAAGCCGGGGTCGCGCTCCACCCTTTGTTGTTGACAAGCGGAAAAGGAAAACTTCGGCTCCAAATCATCGCATTCATCCAAGGTTGGTCTCTATATTTTCTGTATTTTGGTGCTCTAATCTGCAGGCTATGGCTCTAATACTTGCTCTCTGATTATAAAGTCATCCCGCGTCGCCATCCTCACCATGCCTCGGCTTGTCCGCCGCCGACCGTTGACGGAGCGCATCAAGTCCTACTTGAATCCTCTGGACTTTCTCTTGTGGCTGTCGGAGGAGATCGATACTCATGACTGGGACCAGTTTGAGAAGAACTGGGCCCTCCCCCTGGGAATAGCTTTGAATGCGGTCTTTCTGATCGCCAGGGCCAACAGTCAATCGTACGGCAGTCAAGCCATAGATGATGTTTTTGGCGATGATGGAAGCACTCCATGGCTCAGTTGGTTTGTATGTGACGCCTGATTGACTTCGAGTTTGCTTTGAAATAAATATGCGCCTCTATGTGCTGCATCGCTAACGTAAAGGATGATAGTCTTCCTTCATAGTCCACCTTCTTACCACCTTCACCGCGTTCAACGCCTTCTATACTTTCTACCGGAAGCGACATTATCGCATGTTTGAAGCATCAATCGATCAGGCTCCTGCAACTCCCTCCGCTCACCGAGTCCGTGTTAATTCGACTCCTGTGACCGCTTCGCCACTGAAATATCTGGCGGATACGATAGCCAGATCGGCCCAGTCGAGAGCTCACCCAGACGCACAGCGAGATGTATGGGAACTTGCCGTCTGGGATCCTCTACCCATTTGCATTCGATTGTTCTGCCTCTTCAGTCCTGGACATGTCTTGGTATACTGGGTTTTTCTACCCACTCAGCTATCCGATCCTCGACCAAGCGTGACGATTGTGACCACTATCTTTATAGCGGCACTCCTCTCGGTACAGATGACGTTCCTTTCCTCGTCCTATACCCAGCAAGCAAAGGATTCTATGGTAGTTCATAAGGAGGTGCTCCGTGAATACGACACTAAATACGTTCATCCTCGTACTCAGCCTTTGATGAGAGATGTGGCCACTCAATTCTCCGAGTCCGATCCCGATTTTAAGCAGAACAAGGTTGACACCTTCACGCCCACTGTCGTGCTTCATAGAGGCTTTAAGACAAGCCCAAATCCCAACTACGTCAGCCATGTGGACCCCGAGGGCCGATCATCTGCGCGCCAAGCCTTTGCAGCGACACCTACTGGAGTATCTCATCGTGCTGCCGCGTTGCAGACCCCAAGCCACCTGCGGGATGCTTCTCCTATTGTGCGAAACTCTATCTCTGCAATTCGCCAGCCCCAATTCCGCCAGACACCGACGACTACGGGTGATGGTGGAAGCCTTGGCATTTACTCGCATGCCAACTCGCCTCTGAAGAAGTCTACGTCAGCCAATTTTGAACGTCGTCTTCAGAGCAATGGCGATTTCTTCTACAAGGAACGGGGAACAAGTGCAATGAGAAGGCCCTCTAGTCCCCTCAAGAGAAGTAATGTCCCCACAGACAGTCCCTCAACACCGGGACCGAGACGGAGTCAACTGGACGCACGCCGCGACAGTGGACGGTTTTAACATGGGTTGTTCGATTAAGGCGTCATGCGCCAACCATAACAGTAGCATGGAAGGAGTAACTCTCATGTATAGTATGCTATAACATCATATCGGCGTTGTGATCAGGTCATCATTAAGACCAGGTACTTCTTGTGACCGTGGACTACTTTTGGAGCATCAGGTGCGGCGTTAATCATCCAAGCTTTCGGATCCTTGTTTCTCATTAAAAGCTTTTTCATTGTCTTTTGACTTCGCGTTCGCCCTTGTGCCACTTGCTTGGGTTATCTTTCTGAAAACAATGGATGCCCGGGCTCTTATGAGAATGTAGGCTGGGTTTTACTGATGGCCGATAGTGATCCAGCCGCTGAGCAACATGCTTAATACGAGGCTGGACGACTTCAAGTTCACGGATATCAGTTCCGCATTCAAAGCAATTCTACATCGGCGCATCCTTGACCCTCGTTAATGGCATACTTTATATCGCCGGCAGCATCTAACTAGTCACTTCTTATGATTGCACCTTCACGTTCGTGAACCTGTGGCGTTCGCTGTTTCCACCCCAGGAATTCGCAAGTGACAAATGGAAGCAGCAAGTTCAGCTGCGCGATGCTTGCAGTTTCCATACCGAACTATGTCACAGGTCCAGGCCTACATTCCTTGGTGACCTCTAGCCGCCCGTTGCTACATTCCTAATAGTGGCCAGCCCTGGCGTACTATACATTCCACCCCTTATCATTACATACATTATCCCTACCCTACCACGCGGAACGCGCCCAGTGATGGGGTTGCCCTGCCAGCTTTCTTTCCAGACCCCTGTCGCGTTCCGATGAAACCACACCACCGACCAAACGCCCAACGCCTGCACAGGCGTAATTCTGCACACTCTCGTCCAGAGAAGAAGTGCATTGAGAGATATTCCAGCGCTGGTGGAGGAATGGGTCATTGTTTTGACGCTGTCTGGCTTTAAGGTCGAAGCTGCTTGGGCTGCAGCAGTCCTCAACGGGTGAAGATGGAGGAATTCTTGCATCTACCAAATGGACATCTGCTAAATCTTCAGCCTCGACCCCGCCACGGCAAGCGGACAAGAGTCGGTAACGAGGTACAAACACCCACGCGAGTGCAAGAATCTACGCCCAAGCCTGACGAACGGCACAAGTCTGGAAGCAAAGAGGGCACCGGCGCTTCGCCTAACACGGCTCCGCGAAAGAGAACCCCTACAAAGCTACCCCTTCCTAAGTCTTTTACCGACAAGGAGAAACAGCAACCAAAAGAAGCCCCCACAACTTCTGAACAGAAAGGTCACCGTGCAGATAGAGTTCTCCAGCCGAAGAGGTCATTCGGGGCACTGCAGCGTTCATCACCCAAGAGATCAGACAACGATCGTGACCAATACTGGCGGAAAGTAAAGGATAGATTTGAAAAAGAGATTCCCGGAGGGTCGTTCACCAAAGAGAAGCCGAAGGAATACTACCAGGAGGCCTACCGAAAGATAGTTTCACTGGCCAACTCCCCAAGACAGGAGATTGCCAAACAAAAACAGAAATTGGCAGGAGGGGCGCCTCGGGGCGACAAAACAGTCCTCCAAGGCCCGAGCCCTCCAACAAAGATTCCGAATTCCAGCGACGGTCGAACGAATTTTGGGCGCAGCGCGAGAGAAGGGGGAGCAAGTCTCTCTACTGGTCAAAGAAAGCGGCCGAGCAATGGAACTCAGCGAACGCATCTGAACTTCAGCAACTCCACACCGGCAATATCATCTGAAAGGACAGACACCAACACCGACTCTTCCGAACACTCACATCCCTCAGTTTCTCCGATATCCGCCCCGTCCAGCTCCCTAACCGAGTGGGAAGACAAGTTCGTTGTCAATATGCCTTCGGCTAAGGAGCCAAACCCTCCAATCATGAGTACTCAACAAATCTCCGATTTCCAGCAAAGCATCGAGAAAGTCCATAAGGAAGGCGGGGAGATGCTAGATCCAGACACCCTCCCCAGCCCGCGTACTAGAACTCCCGAGGACAGCACTAACAATACTATTGGGCAAGAAAAGACGTCAACAGGCCTTGATGGTCAGGATACACGTATCGGCCGCCCCTCTGAAGTCAGTGATTCCAACTGTTCAGCTGGACATCGCCGGTATTATAGCCCAGAAGAGGTCGGAAAGCAACGGTTCAGCACTATATGGGAAGAGGCTCCTGCAAAAACTGCAAACAAAACCCCCGCTGCAAACCCAGATGGGTCTTTTTTAGGGTGCAAGGAAATCAATGGGCCATACGACAAGAACCCGGACGAGATCCTGCTCTTCTCGATGACGGACGAGCGCCCCAGAATGATAGACAT